TAATATACACTAGAGGAGAACTCTGGCGCTAGTGTCTATAGGGAGCTGCAACGCACGGCGCTTCAGCGAGCATGTGATTGATGGATAGTACACATATTTGTCTAATTTTGTACTTCTGACCTGCTTCTGGCTCCCTGTGTGTTCGTGTGGCTTGGAGCTGTTTTTTCACGAAAACATAAATTAGCAAATGGTCACCGTTTGCGCTTCACAACCTTATTCTTTTAAGCTTACCATTTCGAATCGGGTCACAAAGTTAAAAAGAGTCGTACTTTCCTTCAAAAAAAAAAACCGTAAGCAGCAATAAACGATGCCGCAAGTACGATTCGTCGCCCGCAAGTACGAAGACTAGGCAAATGTGTGTACTACCCATCGATCCCATGGTCACTAAACGATCACAGCGCCAGAGTCCCCTCTAGTTAATTTTAGAAAACTCTATAGTATTAGCAGTTCGCTACGACCACCGCGTTGCTACGACGTAACGCAGGACTAACTAACGGCTGACCCACACCTTGAGCCCCCCAAAAAGCGACTGCTCGTGCACCACTACGGTTTACTGGCCATTCCGTATACATATGCACTGGATCTTGACCTCCAAGGTAGTGCCCGTGGCAGATTTTTTTCGTGCGTTCTTGAACAATAAAATTCGATGCGTGCGTGCAAACTAAAAGCGGGCTGCGGGTCTCTGCATGCGATCGGAGTCTTTTGTCTCTCACTATCCATTAGCAGCGATTGGCATGTTCCGGTAGGAAACACCGGCGTAATCACTGCGTGCTTTGCGCGTGCCCAGGTTTTTCTCCTGTGCAACGCCGCGATGACCGCCAGTGTCAAGGCCACCACCAGTGTAAGCGTTAGCGCCCACTGCTTCGCATCTACACATTATTCCTTTTAGCAGCAGATGGTGTATTTTTTTTGAAATTCCGCTACATTAAAAGGGCATTTTCGGTTTCGATTTCAAAGAATCAGCTTTTTGATAATGTGTCATGGCAGTGTGACGTCACGGAAAAACAGCAATTCGCGGTGTACTATAGCGTCAGATCTCTCGTCTACTCGTGGAATACACGTAAAGAACGAGTACATTGTCTCAAGCAATGCTGACGGCAATTTCTCTGCTCTAGGCTGCATGCGAGGCGCAGAGTCTGCCAACTCAGTTGAACTGCATTGAGCCATCGGGATAATGTCAATTGCGATGGCGCTGACTTGCTGATCCTCAGCGGTGAAAACTTCAAAATAAAAAAAACTACATATAACGTGTTAGTTGACACGCTTTAACCTCAAATTCCCGGACGTGTACACAACCTCCCACTGCCGCTGCTGTGGCACTTACCCGGCTACGCTTCCGCACATGCTGTGGGAGTGCCCGGCGGAGTACAGACTCACTAACGCCACGACCCTTTCGTCGAAGCTCCATGAGGCTCTCTGGAGCTCCGCTCTTGACGACCAAACCAGGACGACCCAGTACGCCCGCGAGGCAGCGTCGAGGCAAGCCCTTGACGTCCCCTCATGGGAGGCTTAGGCCCGGCCACCTAAACCTGCTGGTCTCTTATAATAAAGTTTATTCCTCCTGTTAGTTGACTATGGTGCGCAGAGAGTGCTGCTTATGCTGCATGCCAAGGTAACTGAAAATGTCTCTATTTTCCATGTCTCAAAATCGTGTCAGTACACCTTTAAGACTTCACTTTAAAAAATTAACGTTTTCGAGGGGACATGTATTTTTATTATTAAACGCAGTGCCTAGCCCATTAAGCATTTTTTTGTTTGGTTTTCTGTTGGCATCGTGACTAAGAATTGTTAAAGTATGACGTCTCAAACAGAAGATATCGTTAAAAAACTCAGGGGTGGGGGCTCCGCTGATTTTGACCACTTGTGGTCTTCAACATGCACCAAAGCCTAAATGCACTCGCCTCTCATATTTTGCCTCCAAGCAAATGGGTCCACTTTAGCCGGGTCCATCGACCTTCGTATCAGTAAACGAGCGAAACAGGCACTAGACCAAGCGGGCAGCGTAGAGATCGCAGAAACACAATAAGGGCCCCAACATCTCGTCACAGTTTCTTCGCGGCCTGTAGGAGTATATTTATTGTCAAATACTGTCAGCATTAGCGGGCTGACAGTACTTATGAGTACATAGGAGTACATTGTACAATGGGTCCGATTAGACACTGACTGATAAACAAGAAACAAAATAGTAAGCCTCATAATGAAGAAAGGAAGTGATTGGAATGTTTAACAAACCATACTACCCATTAGTAACGACTACCACAACAACAAACAATGCGTAAGCCTCGTAATCAAGAACTTATAGCCCCAAAAAACTTATAAAAGAGCACCGATTTGTTAAAGCGTACAAAAAACACTTGTACTTTTTTCACAAAACTCTACGCTATCCATGGTAATAGTTCTTTGGGGAAACTTGTTTCTTATTTCTTTGAAAGCCAGTGAAAATGAAAATTAGAACGTAATGCAGCGAGGTGCCCTTTACCTGCCGTCATTATCATGACAGGTTCTACGTGTAAGGTGATGCGCAGCTTTGAAGTGCTCGTGCTTATATCTATCCTTATGCGTTTATCATAGAGCAAGAGAACAGATTTTATCCCTGCCACTCGTCAGCGCCAAGCACGCATAGGTATTCCTACAGCATTTTCGAGAGCACTGGCTTCTATACTAATGCCTAATACTTTATTATAGAAATGTCATGCACTCCGACATGACATGAAGCCTACTCGTGTTCCTCACAGGAACAAGAGTATTAGAGACACCAAAAGCGATACGCTGATATGAAGCGCTGGTGCTCGCGAAGATGAACATCAATCAATTACAGTGCATGGCATCTAACTAGAATTGACGTTAGCCTGACGTGATGGTTGTATCGTATGAACTAGTACAAATGTATGGTTTATAAAATTCGATAGTTAGCCTTGCAACTACTACTGACGTTTTATGAACATTAGGGCCTATTTGAGAAGTAGTTCTGTGAACTCGCATAGTTCCGCGGTAGAATACGTGATTGCCACGTAGAATACTTGGGTTTGCATTTTTCCTGTAAACGCTGCCGATTACAGGTTTTCCTGAACGCTCACGCACTGAAATTGCCCATGCCGGTTTTCGTGGTTTCTGCGTAAATACTAAGCGTCAATCACCTTCGGCGCATACCACTGGCACTGGCGGATAAATAGATAGATGAAGAGAGAGAAGCACGCCCACATTGCTTGCACTATGCATAAAGAAACCGTTCGCACTTAAAATCACGTAACATCACGCCGCTGATGTCACATGACTACTGTCGCGCAAACTCACGAGAATCACATTCACCCGTGATATGTTCCAACCATAAACCACCTGCGACCTCCGTTATTCGAAGGTCGCAGGTTGGGTTATCTTTTCACCCACTTTTTGTTTCTTCACGCTTACCTTACAATTCGGTCTATAACCTCCCCTATACTTTATTGTCTGTCAGATTTCATTATTATTGTGTCAAAACACGGAAAAACGAGCCCTGAAGTATACACTTCTTTTTCCTATATATATATATATATATATATATGTCTTGAAAAAGACGGGGTTTCCGTCGAAACGTCGGCACAATAAACAGTTGTTATGTGAAAGCGCATCTACGTTCATATATATATATATATATATATATATATATATATATATAATTTTTTGTTTGTAGCAACTGGGGTGTGGCGGTGCTTCGCAAGTGACAGACGGATGGTTCGCTCCCTGGTTTAAATGCAGGAAAAGTTTGGGAAGGAACAATGACCAATACGGTTTGAAAACAACAATTAAGCAGACAAAGCACGTGCGCATCAAGCATCGCTCGATCCGTCTTTTCTATGGGAACGCGAACTTCACCATTTTTCAACTTTAAAAACGACAATTTTTTTTTCTTGAGGCTACGACGAGCTCATTTTGGACAAAGTGCTCGATGTCGCGCGACCGAATCTAGGCCGCGACGGCCGCATTCTCGATGAAGGCGATAATTCTTCTGGCGCAGTGTACCGCGCGACATCAGTGCGCATTAAGAAACCCCAGGGGTTTGAAACTTCCTAAGCGCTCGACTACCGTGTTCCTAATGACCATGCCGTCATTTCGGCACTTGAGAACCGAACAATGGTTAATGTCGCAGAAAGACCCACAAGCATCCGCCGCTGTAGGACATCTAGTGAGCACAACATTGTGGATCGTAACACTGCCGAACCAAACAAGTTTTGGACGAGGATGCTCTCAAATAGATTTTGAATATCACCTTCTATTTCCTAGGCGCGCGAAGCACGTGATTACGTCTATCTGCCAAGTAGTTCAAGGACGTGGCTTAAAACGGAGGCTCAATCCTCTATAACGTTCAAGAAAGTACAGATACAAAGCCATTTGTGTGCTTTCCTACCGGCGAATATATCGTAATCACTGAGCGCTTACTGGTCGTTCCAAAATGAAACCGAAAGTGACACCAAAGTGTTAAATAGGCTTAGACTTTATTTCGTCTGGGTATATTAGGACAAACAATAGTAAAATCAGGCAAACCTGGTTGCAAACCTGCTAACTGATTCCCGCACACCTATTTTGCCATAAATGTTACATGGCTTGTATATGTATTACCATTTTGTGGTCACGTCTGCAAATTTTCGTCGTTTTATGTCAGTAAACTTTCAGTCGATGACTAGCGCTAGTGCTGCTCACGTGTTCGTTCCTTTTCCGTTTTGTTCCGCTGAGCTTGCCAAGATGCACAAGATCTCTGGTCATGAGTTATTTGTAACTGCACAAAATTGCCTGAATGAGTATAAAATTATGCACTTTTTGGCATCACCTTACATAAAACATTTTATGCATGTGTTCAGCGTACATAATTTCCCCCATTCCGTCACTGCAGGCTGACTGCACGCCATCGTGTTCTGTAGTCCCGTCACGCAGAACGCATTTGCTTTTTGCCATTGTATCCGAGACATCCTCGAACAAAATCAATAAATCAATCAGTCAATCAATCAGACATATTTTACTTGCAGTGCTGTGCTCGTCCGCTGCTACGATTGGCAAAGCCACCAAGCACACCTGTCCCGAGGGCCACTTTCCTTGCAGTGAAGCGAGGAGGCACTGCGTACGACGAGAGTTCATATGCGACGGACAGCGGGATTGCCCGGAGGGCTCCGACGAAAAAGCATGCGGTAGGTATAGAACAGCATTATATGTCGTAATGTAAGAAAGCCTTGAGGTTTGGTTGTGTGCACAAACGTTAAGAACTGATTGTCCTTTACAGCCACGCGCATAAAATTTTGCAAACGGGGTGTAAGCAGCGTTCACTGGTGCATTCTTTGTTCCGTTTTTTTTATGCATCCATAAGGAATGTGCACTCGAACTCCAGGTTAAAGTGAAATATACAGTGCCAAATAAACGCAGCCACAAGTATTGTGTTTGCTTCACACTCATTGGTTAGATGTGAAGGACAACGTAATAAACGCGCCGTTTACACGAACTCTCAGTAAGACCATTCAGACGTTTCGATGTAGTAGTGCTACTGTAAGTCATGTGCCCCAACGTAAGCCTATCCTCAAAATGAACGACGGGCTCTAAGAGATAAATACAAAATTTTACTCCACAGGGGACGAGAACCTGAAGAAGTTCATCGAAGACTACTTCCAGAAACGGCCTGATGAGGACCGTGAAAAAAAGTCTGGAAAATGCGGTGAGTGTGATTGGCAATACTGCGCGGTCGTATACTGTAGTCACGGAGATCGGCAGACAGAGCGAAAACTATATTGTTGACGGAGAAACATCGTAATAAAATGCCTTCTCCTCAAGTAGTGCGTGAGCACTACTTGAAATATTGTCATTTGCCATGACATCGTATTAGAGCTGGTACCATGGGTAGTGTGAATAAGCGGTTGGCGGCGCGTCTACAGATACACATAACGGCACTTCACTGTGGGCTGTTTGAGCCCATTGTCAACCAATAAAACGCGTTGAGTGTAGCTTGCCGGTAATATTAGTACAGTACCGGCCACTGTTAGAGGAAACGTGGTACGCGTGGCCACTCTTGTCGGGCCCCCAAGTGGGCGCTGCGCGAAATATTGCGACGCAAGCGCAATAAACGCCAGAGGTGAAGTTCGATGTGTCTTGTCGGCTACGGTGCCTCCCACTTGGACGTGCGCGACTTAGGTTTCACAGCTCGAGGGGAAATGGGAAGCAACGTAGCAGACGACGTGCAGCTAACTATGCCTGTGGCGCCCACTGCACTTGCGTCGTTGTAGTTCGCACGGTGGCCGTCGTGGCGCTCCGGGGAGCACGGTCACCCGCTTTGCATGCCCCCTAACAGTGGCGGCGACTGTACGTTCTTCATTACCGAACCAGATTCACGAAGCCCCTTCAGTGTTACTATAAGTAGTGCCAATGAAGCAATGCTCCCCCTTGGAGACATTATGCGTTTTCGCGCTGTATGACGTTTTCCCATAGCAGTGCTGTTGGCCACGTGTCGTAGCAAGTGAATTAGCACCTTTATAAACCGGTACGCGCTCATTCACCGCTCAAGTACTCGGTACAGATGCTTAACATTTAGGCTGAAACTTGCGGCCTCTGTTTGCTGCCCGCGTGTTTACTTACTGTTTCAGGACTATTCAGATGTGGCGCCAGCGGAAAGTATGGAAAGCTGAAGGCTCCCGACCCCACCAAAAATATTCCGCCTGCCTTCTCCCCCCATTGCCCCACGCCCAAAAACATGCATGGTCGAAACACTGATGTGGACATATTTCTGTATCGAAAATATGAACTCAGTGCATGAATGTGATACGTACCTTTGTATAGCCTTGTGTGTGTTACCTAATATGCGATGTCGACTGTTGCCCAAGAGAAGAGCAGTAGCTGGCGCCACCCATACCTAGGCACGAACCTCTCCTTAAATACATTTTAATATAAAAAAATTGGCAGATCCCACGCAGAGTGGTAATCGATCATATGCGAAGCATGAATAAGGAATGTTGACATGTTACTTTAAAATAAGAACAACGTTACGAGGTGGAGGTAAATGATGCCATAAATGACCTCCGCGTCATGGTTATCTTGTTTTAATGTTTCGTTTACCTTCGTCATCTAGTCACGTCACGTGATACAAAATTTAGTATATGCGGAGCTAGCGAAACGACCGCGAGCACGCTATGAGCGTGGTATGTTGTCATGTTCTTACATGACACGCGTGCCTTGACTATCATGTTTGCACCACTAACATATTTTGCCATCCACTGATGTCCCATAACACCAAATTTGGTATATGTGCAGCGAGCAAAACGGCTGCGAGCGCATCATGAAGGGCCCAATATACTTCCATGTAGCGTTGACGCGCGCGCTCGCTGGGCACAGCGACGCTGCGTCAGCAAAACGGGAACACTCTATCGTCTGACGCCAAGCGCGACCAGCGTCCGTCGGCGCGGCCCGACGGCAAACGGCGTGAAATGCGACATGCTGAATTTCGTGCCAATGCCATAGAGTAACATTATTCTGTGCCTATGCGTTACTCAGACAACACTGCGTCTCTCTGTTTTTGTGACGAACGGTCACCAGACGCGCTGAAACGTGCATGCGCCAAAGCAACGCAGCACGGCGCGCGCCTGCGAGTATACGCAGTACTGGCGCCTGACGTGGCAACGCCGGCGTCACGCGACGAAATGAAGGTCCGCGAGCGTGCGCACCGCGTCTTGTCGAAACGTATGAGCGCCTTGATGGTGGTGGTAAAAAACATTTATTTCAGGAAAAGTTTACTAGAGAGTACCGACGTGGCCCATCGGCGTGCTAGAGTGGCAAGACCCTATTCCGGGACGCCAGTGGAGCTGGAAGCTGCCCGTGCGGGCTCCACCAAGGAGCGTTGTGCAGCCAAGGTAGAGCAGCCGAGCAGGTGCTCCTCCCAAGCCTCTCTAGTTGGGATAGGAAAAGTGGATGAGAGAGGGACGGTATTAACTGGGCACGATGCTACGACGTGATATGTGTCGGCGAGCACATGACAGGTCGAGCAGGTGCCATTGATTTCCGGCAAAAAGTGCCTGGCGACCGCCGGACTGATAAAGGTGTTCGTCTGCAGGCAGCGTAGCAGTCGTTCGTCCGCTTTCTCCAAACCGCGTGCGGGGTCCGGGTAGAGGCGGCGCGAAGCCCGGTAATAAGCCAAAATTTCGCGAAAGCGCGTCAAGTTGGTATTTGCCAGATTCCGTCTCGGGACATGGAGGGGCAACGGCCCGGACAACTGAAGCGCGGGCAGCAGCATTTGCCGCCTCGTTGCCGGGCAGGCCTGAGTGGCCTGGGGTCCACACTATACGAATGGGATGAGGGTTAAAGCGCCAAGAAGCTGCCTGTAGTAGGCTAGCCGCCAGCGGAGCAATGGAACCCTGAAGGTACTGAGAACAGGCCGAGCGCGAGTCCGTCAGGATGGTGCGTGAGGCAGGGTGAGAGGCGGCCAAAGCTATGGCAACCTCTTCAGCGTGCGTTACTGTGTCTGCTCGAAAGGAGAGGCCATCTACGTGTTTGCCCTCTGTAATCACGGCAGCCGTGAAGTGACCCGAGGGGGAGGGACCCGAGACGTCCACGTAGAAAACACCAGGACGATCGGAGTGTCGCGTATGAAGGGCCGCGGCGCGTGCTAGTCTACGGCCAGGATGGAGGTCAGGGTTCATATTACGGGGTAGAGGTTCCACCCATAGCTTTTGACGCCAGAGCTCTGGTACCGGCTGCAGAGGGTCTTGGTCAGATATTGGGTTAAAGCGAAGTCTGTGTAGAAGACGGCGCCCTGAAGGCGTCCGCGACAGTCGATTGATTTGGTTAACGCGATGAGCTTCGCGCATCTCTGCAAAGGTGTTGTGTACCCCTAGAGCCGTGAATCGGCTGTTGGAAGTTGCAATACGTAGGTCGAGAGCGCGTTTGTATACTGAACGAAGAAGGACGTCGAGCTGGTGCTCGTGTCGACGACGCAGGCGAAGGTAAGGCAAGGCGTAGAGGACGCGACTGGTCACAAACGCGTGGGCCAATCGGAGCGACTGAGACCCGCGGAGGCCGCCGCGCTTGGTAGAAACTCGCCGTATCATGCGGCCCACCTGTTCGCTGGTGCGTCTGAGGCCTGATATTGTGCCCTTTGGATCCAAGGACGATGTGAGGCGAAGGCCAAGAGCCCAAATATTTTGCACTGACGGGACGGGCCCGGACGGAAGAAAAATTTGAGGCGGCGGTAGCGGAGAGACTGAAAGAAGAGCCGATTTAGCTGGAGAGCACTCCAGGCCGCATGAACCTGCGTAGGTGTCCACCAGAAGGGCAGCGTTTTGCAGGCGTTCTTCGATTTGCGCTAAGGAGCCGGTGTTGGTCCAGATTGTGATATCGTCCGCATATAGTGCGTGTTGTATTCCCTCGACCTCGCTTAGAAGATAGGGGACGTTCATCATCGCCAGGTTAAAAAGCAGAGGAGACAGGACTGCCCCTTAAGGTGTACCCCGCGTGCCTAATAAGTACGGGCCATGTTCGGTAGAATTAAGGCGAATGAAGGCGAAGCGATGTGATAGAAAGGCGCGAATGTAGTTGAAAGTCTTCTGCCCGCAGTTTGTGGTAGACAGGTAAGTGAGTATAGTGCTGTGTTTGACGTTGTCGAACGCCCCGCGGAAATCGAGAGTGAGCACGGCTTTATCGTTATGGCGCATAGTAGTCGGCTCTATGATATCGTGTTGAAGCTGGAGCAGGACGTCCTGTGCCGACAGATGCGGGCGAAAGCCAAACATCGTGTCGGCAAAGGTGCTCCTGGCCTCCAAGTAGGCTGAAAGGCGTTCGCAAACCATGATTTCCATGAGTTTCCTCCATGTCCACTTGCGGTTTCCTCGTTTTCGGTAGAAAGTATCACATATCATATGACACGTATCTCATGATTATTATGTTTGCACCAGTCACTTACTATCGTCATCCATTGGCATCACGTAAAACCAAATTTGGCATATCTGAAGCTAGCGAAACGGCAGCGAGCGCATTATGAGTGTGGTATGTAGACAGGTTGTTACATGACAAGCATCTCATGATTATCATGTTTGCACTAGTAAAATAGCTTCGTCATCCATTCATGTACCGTAATACCAAATTTGGTATTTTTGACGCTAGCGAAACAGCCGCAAGCGCATCGTTAGCGTGGCATGTAATCATGTTGTTACATGATACGCATGTCATGAATTTCATGTTAGGGTCTCTCGCTTGTGTTGGCCATGCAATCATGTCATACCATACCAGTTTTGCAACATGCCATGTGAAGTAAACCACCGCAAGAGCTGCCGTATCATAAAATATAAATCGTGACATTCATGACATACACATCATGATTTTCATGGTATGACTAGTAAAATATATTCCTCATACTGTCATGTTATGTAATACCAAGTTTGGTATCGATACCTATATGGAAACGGCCAGGACAGCTAAATGTCGTAGGCGGCTAGACAGATAAAGGCTAGATAGATAGATATTTGGGCGAAGCGTTCTCTACGATTTGCTTAAACTGCAGAAGCAGCAATCAAATTCCAATGATTCTGTTGAGCGCGGTGTTTGACGGCAATACCCAAGAATCTCGACAAACGCAAACACTGATCTTATTACAGTGCATGTCCCCGGTGTGGTGGTCTAGTGGCTAAGGTACTCGGCTGCTCACCCGCAGGTGGCGGGATCGAATCCCGGCTGTGG